GGTTGAGTGCTTTGGGAGATGAGGTAGGAATAGATTCACTTATGAATTAATTTTTCGAAGATTTTAGAGAGAGGGTGTAAGTTGGATATTGGCCTATAGTTATTCAAGTCTGTTTGGTCTCCTCCTTTATGGATCGGGGTGACCCTTGCTATTTTGAGAACTGTAGGGAAGGTAGAGGATTCGATGGATTTGCTAAAGAGTGTTGCAATGATTGGTGATAGTACTTGTGATGCTTTTTTGTATATAATATGTGGTAAGGTATTTAAATCTCCTGTCTTGTTTTTTAGTGTGTTGATAATAAGGGAGACTTCATTTGGGTTAGTCGGAGCTAGGAACAGTGTGTTCGGGTAGTTGCCAGTGAGGTAGTCATTGGGTGGGGTATCTGAGCTTGGGATTTTATTGGTAAGGTTTTTTCCTATAGTGGAGAAGAAATCATCGAGTCTGTTTGGACAAGTGTTGAAGAATTCTTTATATCAAGATCCCATGATGTTGCAGTGTCTGAAGCCACTGTGTGGCAAAATGTTTCTTCAATAAAGATTCCCACATGTTGCATAAGTGTTTCAGTTCTTCAACTTGACGGTTTTCAAAACCATTTATCACACATTCATTCCTTACCTTAAAATATTTGTAGTCTTAATGTAGGGTGAGAGGTGAGTAGTATTTATTGTAGAAAGTCAGGTGTGGTAGTTCCTATACCAACTACCATAACTACACGAAATATACGACTCAAATTTAACCCTTTGGGGGTTTCGGACGTACTAGTACGTCTTACGACCCAGGGTTTTTGACGTACTAGTACGCCTAAATTCTAGCGCCCTCAAATCTAGTGAGAGAAAGCTGGTAGGCCTACATATGAAAGAATGGGTCTATGTAGTCAGTGTGCGCAGTATAAAAAAAAACCTGCAGCACACAGTTCGTAATGAGAAAAAAAAACTTTGACCGTTTTTGGATTAAAACAGCAACTTTGCACTGTATTTTCGTATGGTATTTATTGTTGTATTCTAGTTTTCTTGGTCTCATTTTATAGAATGGAAGACATATTACAGAAATTGAGGTGATTTTGACTAGTTTTACAATGAAAAGTACTTTGAAATTGAGCTCAAAGTAGCAGAAATGTTTGATTTTTTCCGAAGTTCAAAAGTAAACAAATCATGCCAAGCGTCCAATACACATCAAATGGCGAGTCTAATATTCTTTCACAAGTGTGCTGATATTATTTATACCATTTCTACACTAATGCAGTAGTCTGCATAACAGTAAATCTTATTTTTTTTGTAAGAATAAAAATTCAAAGTGGAAAGTCAAAGAAATATAAGAGGGGCCTGGGGATGTGACTAACGAACAGAGAACTTGTTATTTTTGTGCCAGGAATGTCTTTCTTGTTTATTCTGGACCCTATTCGGAAACTGGCATCTTTTGAAATTTGTGTGAAATTGGCAAAATTGCTATATTCTGACCACTTTATTGGATAGTTGAAATCAGTAAATTGGTGGTTTCTTTTACTCATTCGATAGAAAAAATGGAGTTCTAGCGAAATAGTTATGATTTTTGTTGACTAGTACACTGGAATTGGCCGAAAATAGGGCTCAAAGTGGGCAAAATCGCCGATGCGCAAACATCGTCAAGACTGCTAACTTCGCGAGAGCATAATTCCGTAAATTTACTTTTGGTGTCATTATGATCGGGAAAAGATTCTCTATCTTTTCATAAGAATTTTTTTTTTTTTTTTTTTAAATTTGGCCGACCCTGAGAACAAGTTTTTGAGAGGACCTGTCGACCCCCAAAGGGTTAAAGCGCCACAAAGCAATTATATAATATTATTACCATCAACATGCCCTGCTCACCGAGTTTTATCATTTCTCACAACTACCCTCAGATGCCATCATAAACAAGAGAGAATGAGTAAACTAAAGAGAACAAGTAAACGAGAGAGAACTAGTGTCAGGCTGTCTTTTGAATCAGTGGCCCAAGCTCACTGATTCAGAACTTTATGTTACTGTACAACCATGAAAAATTAATTTCATAATTTAGAAGTTAGGAACAATTAGCAATATTGTACACCCTCCCCTGCCCTATTCGTCATTAATAAGAGGGTTGACTCATGAAATCATAATGAGGGTTCACTATAGAAACTAAATTTTTGTGGGAAGGTGTATGTTACAGCTATCATGGTGGCCTGTAAACAATGTCTACAGGACTGGTTTTCGACATTTTTTAAATGATGGCACCCTCAAGTCCTATCTTATTCAGTGGCACCCTTAGTTAATTTTCTATTAGAACTGCTTCCCAAGAGTACTTAGTCTTAACAATAATACAGCGGACCCTCGCCTAACGATATTAATCGGTTCCTGAGAGCTCATCATTAGCCGAATTAATTTTCCCCATACGAAATAAGGGAAATCCAATTAATCAGTTCCAGACAGCCAAAAGTATTAAAACCATACCCCGGCCGGGATTGAACCCGCGGTCCGAGAGTCTCAAAAGTAAAAGTATTAAAAAAAAAATTTTCATGAAATATACATTTCCCTACAAAGAAAACAATGAGACAAGCACAATAACTACATAAATAGATGTTAAAATGACACTTACCTTTATTGAAGAGTATTGATGAGTGATCAGACACTGTTTTTCTTGAACACACTGGGATTTTCAGAGTGATACATGGGTAAAGGCTTCACTTTGCAATCCCCACTAGCATTACAACAAAACATGAGAGTTAGCCTGTCTTTCACAGGCTTGTGTCCTGGGAGTGCCTTTTCCTCCTGAGTAATGTAGGTCCTGTTTGGCATTTTCTTCCAGAACAGGCCTGTTTTGTCACAATTGAACACTTGTTGGGGTTGGAATTTTTCAGCTTCACGATGCCGTATCACACTGTGTATGCCACTACAATTCTTAAATCTCTCAGACCAACCTTTGCTGGCCTTAAATTCACCAATATGAGCACTAGTTCCAGGCATTTCTTCCTGTTCACCTGGGTGTTAGTCGACTGTTGTGGGCCGCATCCTGAGGGACAAGATTAAGGACCCCAATGGAAATAAGTTAGACAGTCCTCGATGATGCACTGGCTTTCTTGGGTTATCCTGGGTGGCTAACCATCTGGGGTTAATTGTTTCTTGGTAACTGTTTCCCGTTATGCCACACCAACAACACACACTCCACATCTTCAAGTAGTACAGCTGATGGTGGTGGAGCAACAGCTGATGGTGGTGCAGCAGCAGCTGACTGTGATGCAGCAGCAGCTGACCGTGGTGCAGCAGCAGCTGACCGTGGTGCAGCAGCAGCTGACCATGGTGCACCAGCAGCTGACTGTGGTGCAGCAACAGCTGACCATGGTTCAACAACAGCTGACTTTGGTGCAGCAGCAGCTGACCATGGTTCAGCAGCAGCTGACCATGGTTCAGCAGCAGCTGACCATGGTTCAGCAGCAGCTGACCATGGTTCAGCAGCAGCTGACCATGGTTCAGCAGCAGCTGACTGTGGTTCAGCAGCAGCTGACCGTGGTTCAGCAACAGCTGACTTTGATGCAGCAGCAGCTGACCATGGTTCAGCAGCAGCTGACTGTGGTGCAGCAACAGCTGACTGTGGTGCAGCAGCAGCAGCTGACTGTGGTGCAGCAGCAGCTGATTGTGGTGCAGCAGCAGCTGACTGTGGTGCAGCAGCAGCTGACTGTGGTGCAGCAGCAGCTGACTGTGGTGCAGCAGCAGCTGACTGTGGTGCAGCAGCAGCTGACTGTGGTGCAGTAGCAGCTGACTGTGGTGCAGCAACAGCTGACCGTGGTGCAGCAACAGCTGACCGTGGTGCAGCAACAGCTGATGGTGGTGCAGCAGCAGCTGACTGTGGTGCAGCAACAGCTGACCGTGGTCCAGCAATAGCTGACGGTGGTGCAGCAGCAGCTGACCGTGGTGCGATAGTAGTATTTCGATAGTATTTCTTACTCTTTTTACCACAGGGTTGGCACTAGAAGCTTTCTTTGGGCCCATGGTGGCTTATTTATCAGTTACAAGCACTATAAACAATGGAATAATACAAAATGTATCGAATGCATGCATGCAACTGGCCACCCTGGCTTGTAAACAATGATGGGAGGGCAGCTGAGGCGCTCAGGCTGGACGGACAGGTTTGGAAGGAATCATGTTGGGCAAGTTTTTTATCATGAGACTAGGCAAAATTTTTGCGTTCAAATGCTTCGTGTGGCGGAATTAACGTTATGCAATGCGTTTGTTAGGCGGGGGTCCACTGTACTGTAATAATAATACTACTATAATAATAATAATAATACTAATAATAAGAACATACAAGTACATAAAACACACATGCAAAATATAAAATTCACAAGCTTGTTAGTGTAAGTAATACACAAGTATCATAATAAAATGAGCAAAACAAACAGAAACTAACTTCTCTTCTGTAACTTTTTTAGAGAAATATTTGGGCTTTGTGTGATTGGCAATTCCTTTTGATATTAAGTAGAATATTGGCCAGATATACCCTCATTTCTTCCTCGATCAATTGAAACCTTTTTCCCTCTTGTTAGTTTTCATGTTTCTGAGTACAGAAAATCCCAATTCACACAGGCAAAAATGTGGAAAATTGCATGAGAATCACCAGAGCTTTTTTTGCAACTTGAGGAAATTCACTCTTAATCTCTATCCAGAATTTGTCCTGAGGCACTTCCTTAATTAAGTTTTAATTTCAGACTGCCATCATTATGTAATTCAATTAATTCCTCTACTTCTGTCAGACCGAGCTTCAATGGGCTTTATACTGATGCAATACAGTGGACCCTCGATTTTCGTAATTAATCTATTCCAGAGTATCTGACTATTGGCGAAATTTATGATTTGCGAAACCATTTTCCCCATAAGAAATAATGTAAATAAAATTAATCCGTTCCAGACACCCGAAAGTATTAAAAAGAAAAAATTTACATGAAATATTGATTAACATACACAGACAACACTGAGACATGAACAATAAAACAATAACAACATGATACTTACCTTTATTGAAGGCTCTTCTAAGTGTATGGAAGACAGGAGGACGGAGAAATTACTGTTTGGAAGGGGAATCCCCTTCCATAAAGACTTCAGGTACCAAATCCTTTTCCGGGGTTACTTCCCTTCTTTGTTTTATAATGCCACTAGGACCAGCTTGAGAGTCACTGCACACCTGTGGCACTAAATATCTGTCCATAGAACTCTGTTTCTGGCATCTCTTTAAAATTTCCCTAAAATGGAACAAGACATTGTCATTGTACATGTTGCCAACATGGCCTGCAACAGCTTTGTCAGGGTGATGTTCCTCCACAAATCTTTCCATCCTACTCCACAAGTCTCCTTAATCTCTGAAGGCGGCACCTTCTTCCATCTCTCTCCCTCCGCCTCTGAAGCAATTTCCTGAACAGGTATACACAAATACAGTTACACAGATTATCATTCATAGCAGCATACATGTAGAGAACCTAGGATAACCCAAAAACAGTCAGTGACTTATTTTCATTGGGGTCCTTTTAATGCCTTATTATTATATTATAAAGGAGATAATATCTTATTATTATACTATAGAGGAAATATACTAGGAATAAGGTAAAATGAGTTATTTATATTTACATGTGCATTAGCTAAAAAAATAAAAAATCAGTCTCCTCCCTTTCTGCCACTACATTCATTAAGCACCTTTTGACTCTCTTCTTGAGCTTGTTCATGCTATGACTAACTCTGACATGTGCAGGCAGTCTGTTCCATTCCTTTATTGCTGTACAATATAAGGTGTTTGAAACCTGGCCACTAACTGGATATTACAAAGTTGTGCTCTCTTTCCCAAGTACTATGATTGCTTTGGCTCCCAGCCAGTAGTACTATGAGTGAAGAAGCCACTTGTGGCAAAATGTTTCCTCAGTAAATGTTTTGAGTTGTTAAACTATGATTCAAATTCAAATTTTTATTTCTTTGCAAAGTTTACAATGTGTGACTGACATGTTATTACCTGGAGAGAGTTTCGGGGGTCAACGCCCCCATGGCCCGGTCTGTGACCAGGCCTCATGGTGGATCAGAGCCTGATCAACCAGGCTGTTACTGCTGGCTGCACACAATCCAACGTACGAGCCACAGCCCGGCTGGTCAGGTACCGACTTTAGGTGCTTGTCCAGTGCCTGCTTGAAGACAGCCAGGGGTCTATTGGTAATCCCCCTTATGTATGCTGGGAGGCAGTTGAACAGTCTCGGGCCCCTGACACTTACTGGAGTCTATGTGTGATAATTGTACTTGTGCATACCTGTACCTCAGTTAACCTGCTTAATACCAACTGTCAACTGCTGTGGGTCACACCCTGGATGGGGTGTGACCCACAGCAGTTGATAGTCAGTATTAAGCAAAGGGTAATAAGCTACATTGACTGACTTTATTGCGTTATCCTAGGTTAGTAAGCCTTCAGGGTTAATAATGTGAATAGTTTCCTTCTATACATTCAAAGTGTAAATAAAAACTTAATCCGCTATTATTCCATTCACGGGGAGCGCTAATTATTATTATAATCAAAACGGGGAGCGCTAAACCTGCAGGTGTTATGGAAGCTAGGCGAATGGTTGACATTTAAGTTTGATCTAAGGAAAGTGTAGGTCTAATTCTTTGGATCAAGAGCCTCTCCCCGCCAATAAGGAAGCTCCTTGAGGGGGGGACCTACATGGTAAAATAACCCACGAAATGTTGTGCATAACCATGGACTTCATGCATGCATTCATGTGTCACTAATTTCTGTAAAAAAAAACATTGTACTGTGTTGAAATTTTATTATTATAATAATCATGGGGAAGCGCTAAAGCAGTTGTATTATACAGCGCCTGGGGGGGGGGGACGGAAGGTACTCAGGCTTAATTCAGGGAACTGGAGCACATCCAGTTCCTTAGATCAAGAGCCCCCTCACTAGCGTCAAGGAACCTCCCTTGATGGGTCGTGTGGAAATATACTTTGACTTGGACACAATGTCTACCTCCTCAGTACACTTATAAATAGACCCGTGTATGCACTACCTGGGTTATTACACCCGCTGGTGAGCACCTGTGTCATCTCAACACATTTCTCCCATAATTAACGATGTCATAAGCTACCAAGATAGAAAAGATGTAACATATCTACCTTAGAAGTGACTACAAACGAGGTTATATGTTGTTACTGCGAGAGTGTTGAAGGCAAGCAGAACAGCAGCCACTAACTCCTCCACCTGCAACACTAACTATATCATTATATTACAGTCAATATATCTCATATAGAACACACACACTCACAACATTTATATTACTTTCACATTTAATACTAGCTATTGAGTTAATGAAAACTCAGAATAAGATAATTCTTATAATAATTCGAAAAACAAATCCGAAGTGTGTAATTTTTAATTTATTATTATTATTTACTATGTATTATTATTGTGAAAATTATTATTATTATTTGAGCAAATCACCTGCAGGAGGCTTACAGTGCATTACCTGAACTGCACTATGTAACAATTTATGTTCCTGACAAGGAAGTGTTATTTTCGAACTCCTTTTATTACAAAACAATAGAAAATGACTATTATTCCTTTTAAACTTTGCTTTTGTGACTTACAGGATGACTTTCTGAGGAAAAATGGCTAAATTTCAACATTTTTTGCTACTTTTGGATGTAAAACAAAAACATGATAAAATAAATAAAATTTACATAAATAAAATTTACACAAATTTTATTTTAAACTTTCTGAAACATATTTACAAAGTTAAAAAATGAGTAATTTTTCCTAGATTTGCGAGCATGCAACAAATCACTTTCCCGTTTAACCCCCAAATGTAGTCTCCCATCATGTTTTCATTATAAGATCTCTGATATCTGTGTTCAAAGTCCATTATATTTTGATTCAAATTCAAATTCAAATTCAAATTCAAAGTTTATTCTCTATAAAGATTACAATGTTGAATATACAGAATTTGGTTGTTGTGTGGTTTACATGTAGTTAAATAATGATTACAGTGTACAACTAGAACGCTTAGCATGGCTAGGCATTTCGGGCAGACTTAGTTTAATTCTTTATTTTAAAATATTACAAATTATGAGGTAAGTTGGTATTATGGCTAAGTGACTAAATACTAGTTTGTGAGTTTAGCAATGTGAATGCTTTTGTTTTGGCACAGTACATAGTTTCAGTATTGGAGTATCATAGGATTCATTATTTTAAGATTGAGATTAATATTTCTGTTTATGGTCAAATGGGTGAGTGAAAGTGTGAACCACTAGGTGGTATTCGTGTAGTTAGTTGATGGGGTGTATCAGGGAGATAAGATGTTTTCTAATGGTAGTTTTGAAGGTGATGAAAGTGTCTGCAGTTCTAGAGTTTTTTTAGGTAGGGTGTTCCAGATTTTAGGGCCTTTGACATACATTGAATTTTTGTAAAGGTTTAGTCGGACACGGGGAATGTCGTAGAGATGTTTGTGTCTGGTGTTATGCCTGTGGGTTCTGTCTCAACTATCAAGAAAGCGTTTTAGGTCAAGGTTGATATTGGAGTTTAAGGTCCTGTAGATGTAGATTGCACAGTAGTAGGTGTGGATGTACTGAACAGGGAGTAAGTTTAGATCTATGAAGAGTGGGGGGGGGTGTTGCAGGATGGGATTTAGTGATTATTCTTACTGCAGCTTTTTGTTGGGTTATTATTGGCTTTAGGTGTGTTGCTGCAGTTGATCCCCAAGCACAGATAGCATAGGTGAGGTATGGATGTATAAGTGAATGGTATAGTGTGAGAAGGGCAGTTTGCGGCACGTAGTATCGTATCTTGGAGGGGATCCCAACCGTTTTGGATACTTTTTTTGGTTATGTGTTGGATATGGGTGCTGAAATTCAGGTTGTTGTCAAGGTATAGGCCTAGGAATTTTTCCCTCATTATGTCTGGTAATTAGGTGGTTGTCAATCTTAATGTTAATTTGTGCATCTCCTGCTCTGCTACCAAATATAATATAGTAGGTTTTGTCAGTGTTAAGCGTAAGTTTATTGGCTGTCATCCAAGTCGATATTTTGATCAGCTCCTCGTTAACAATGGTGTTGAGGGTGGCAAGATTAGGGTGAGAGATGACATAAGTCGTGTCGTCAGCAAAGAGAATGGGTTTCAGGTGTTGGGATACGTTTGGAAGATCATTGATGTATATGAGGAAGAGCAGGGGACCAAGGACACTTCCCTGCGGAACTCCAGTATCAAGTGGCCGTGTTGTTGATGCTGTGTTTTTAATGGTGACATACTGATACCTATTAGTAAGGTAAGATTTGAAATAACATAAGAAAGGAGGAACACTGCAGGAGGCCTGTTGGCCCATACTAGGCAGGTCCTTTACAATTCATCCCACTAACAAAACATTTGCCCAACCCAATTTTCAATGCTACCCAAGAAATAAGCTCTGTTGAAGATTGAGACACTTATGCAGCATAAGTGTGGGACTTGAAAAAGCCCACTGTGTGGGTGAAACGTTGTCAATAAAGGATCACATTATACTGCATTTGTGTTTGTTTCCAGCATATGGGAATCTTTATTCAGGAAACGTTTCGCCACACAGTGGCTTCATCAGTCCAATACAAAGAGGAAGGCGTAAGGAGAGGAGGAGTATGAGGTAATCAGTCCCTCAGCCTGGAGTCGATGTGTTCAGTCCATCAATCTTGTAGAATGTACAGCATAGGGCCGTAGACGTGGCTTATATACTGTAGTGAGGTGAGGTGAAGCAGGTGGAGGCGGGGTCATAGTGGTACCATCCACTAGTCGAAGTAGGTCTTCGTCCAAAGGTTGAACAAGTGTTGAAGAATTCTTTGTAACAAGGTCCCATGATGCTGCAGTGTCTGACAGTTGTGATGAATGGTTTGAAAAACCGACAAGTTGAAGATTGAGACACTTATGCAGCATATGGGAATCTTTATTCAGGAAACGTTTCGCCACACAGTGGCTTCATCAGTCCAATACAAAGAGGAAGCGTAAGGAGAGGGGGGAGTATGAGGTAATCAGTCCCCCAGCCTGGAGTCGATGTGTTCAGTCCATCAATCTTGTAGAATGTACAGCATAGGGCCGTAGACGTGGCTTATATACTGTAGTGAGGTGAGGTGAAGCAGGGGGAGGCGGGGTCTAGTGGTACATCCACTAGTCGAAGTAGGTCTTCGTCCAAAGGGTTTAACAAGTGTTGAAGAATTCTTTGTAACAAGGTCCCATGATGCTGCAGTGTCTGACAGTTGTGATGAATGGTTGAAAAAACCGACAAGTTGAAGATTGAGACACTTAAAGCAGCATATGGGAATCTTTATTCAGGAAACGTTCGCCACAAAAGTGGCTTCTCAGTAAAAAGAGGAAGGCGTAAGGAGAGGAGAGTATGAGGTAATCAGTCCTCAGCTGGAGT